AGAGAGAGAGAGAGAGAGAGAGAGAGAGAGAGAGAGAGAGAGAAGCTGTAGATATCATCCTCCAACCAAGACATGTGTACATACATGGGTACCGCACACATACACATGCATATACCACACTTACACATACACCACACACACAGACACACACATACACACACAGAAACTGTAGATATCATCCTCCAGCCTAGATATGTGTACACACATGGGTACCGCACACACACATGCACATATGCATACACCACACAGACACAGAGAGAGAGACACAGACAGACACACACACACACAGAAGCTGTAGATAATATCCTCCACCTTAGACATGTGTACATACATGGGTACTGCCCACACTCATGCATGTGCTACACACAATATATGCAAACACCGCACACATACACACAGAAAGAGACAGAAGCTGTAGACATCATAAAAGTTAAGCAGACAGAGCTGCGCATTGCTCCATTATGTGCAAGTTGTAATTTACCAATTCATGGTCAGTACGGTTAATCAAAGGGAAACAAAAATTAAAGCCACAATGAGGTGGAATGGCTAAAATCAAAACAACAGCTAAGTAATAATATGTCAGGCAGAATTTGGAAGTCTCATACTTCTAGATTGTGAGTGGTAAATGTGTAACTGGAGAAGGCTTGGAAAGTCACCAAAGAACCCAGAAATTTCATTCCCAGCCATTGCACACAGGACAGATGAAAACATGTCTATGTGAAACACGTATGAGAACATTCAAAGCAACGTTCAACTGGAAACAAACCCAAACTTCCATCAGTGGCTGTGGACAAACAAACCATGGCTCATTCATATAATGGGTTATGATTCAGCAGTAAAACAGAACAAATTACCTACGCATGCAGACAGACTGAAGCCCTGTTCTGGCATGCCACTGAGCCACTGTATGATGGGAGAGCGCCTTCCTGAGCTCTGCCGCCACATCGTACTGACTCCTTGTGATAAAAAGACATTCAAGCATGTGGTCTTTACAGCACTGGTGGAGTTAGCTTTAGTAGTCCTGATACCATTTATCATTCAGTGTGTGTGTGCGTGCGTGCGTACACACACATACACACACACACACAGAATCATGTTTTTCTCAG